TTTTATATTATCTTTATGCACAGTAGTATATTTTTACAGCATTGAACAGAGATTTGTAGCCAAAATTTTTAACATGACATATACGAAAGAAAAGAAATAATTGTAATAGTTATTTATTAATGATTCACATATTATAAACTACACAATTTTTTATACGAAAAGTAGTATATTTTTACAGCATTGAACAGAGATTTGTAGCCAAAATTTTTAACATGACATATGCGAAAGGAAAGAAATAATTGTAATAGTTATTTATTAATGATTCACATATTATAAACTACACAATTTTTTATACGAAAAGTGAAAATAGAATTCTAAATACCAAACTTTTTAATTTTTTTTAAAATTATTAATATTATTTAAACATGCTTTTGAATAGCTAACCTTTTAAGTTCTCTTTCATTAACTATTGTCTCGAAATCATTTAGCCTGCAAAATTTTGAATAATTATCTTCATTTTTCTTTTCTTCAATAAGTTCAAAAAGCCTTGAATAATATTCTTTAGTTTTAATTTGTTTGAGAAAAAACCAAGATTCATATTCTGTAATAATATCATAATAAATTCTGTCTTTATTCTCGAAAACAACCTCCTGTTCTGAAGGGCTGATCTTAATGCTTTGATCTTCTAATTCAATAGGATAGAATCTAAATGTTTGCCTCAAGGAATTAATATTTTTTATACATTCTTCTGCAATACTTCTCCTTTTAAGTTCTCTTTCTTTTACCAACTTCATGATATCATCTATCAAACTAAGTTTTTTTCATTGTCTTCATAGTCTTCATTTTTTCTATCATTGAATAATTGATAGAGTCTCTTATAATATTCATTGTCATTACTCTTTTCATTAAGAAGCAATTTTTTATATACCTCAATCATAACATCATAAAATTCGCTCTTTAAAATCAAAACAGAAACGACTTCTCTTTCTGAATCTTCAATTATGAAATTGTTCTTAGACATGACTACTGAATTAAAATTTTAAATAGTTACAAATTTATTCTTTATACATAAAACCAAGCATATAATATAGGTGTTGCATATCAAGTTTGTACAAACTGACAGTCAAATTCATACAAACTGATAGTCAAATTTATACAAACTGATAGTCAGTTTGTATGAATTTGACTGTCAGTTTGTATAAATAATCTCAAATCATATTTACTTTCCATATTAGCCGGGTTCCTAATCAAGTAAAATCAACTCACTGATTAAGTTAGATTAGCAATACATACATATAAATATTCGGTTAACTAATTTTTAATATAATATTTATTAATATTAATGTAAACCTGTAGATCTATAACATATTTCTTAAATAAATAATATTAACTGCACGTAAATAGCATCATGCATATCTTATAGTATTTTTTCACCAATTTATTGTCTCATGCTAAGAGTTTAATACTGGTTAAAAATACTATGTATATATATATGCTAATGTGTATTTATAACATATTTAAGCCAATTTAGAAAATAGTCATTATATGTTGCAAGCGTTAGTTTGAAGCATGACATATATATTTTAATATTTATAATATAATTAAACCAATTTATAAATGAATATGGATGTTAAGTAGTTTAACCACCTCGTGATCTATTCAATTGAGCCAGCTAGTTTAACTAGCTAGTAGTATATTAAAAAATGTGGTATAATATAAATTCTGACCACCTGGTCAGTCTTTTTAATATTGATCGTAATATTCAATAGATATATTTACTAAAATCACGACCTGTTTTTTTCTATATATAAAAAATAAAATCCCAGTTATAATTGTATTGTTAGCTTTTGTTTATTTAGATGCTATACCTTATATTACGTATCTTTACATATTTTTAAACTTATTTTATAGTTATAATAATTAAAACAAGTTATTTTTTTTACCTTGAATTAACAGGTTTTGCAGAAAGTTATTTGAACTATCGCAATATTATTCAAATTTTTAGGACAGGTCTTACAAAAACCATCTATTATATAAAAAAAAATATAAAATCAGATAAATTGGAATCATTCCTCCTTGGCAAGAAAGAATGATCAAAACACCCTTTACTTTTTTTAATTATAATTAAAAAGTTGTAATTTCTAACAATTATCACTCATTACAATACAAAAATATTTGCTTTCACACCAAGTATCTTGAGAAGATGCAGTTTTCAAGTTTTGAATTTCTATCTAAAAAAATCATTCAATATTTCATGAAGTTAAGCCTAGGTAAAATATTCTTTATCTATTTATTTATTTTTGTCAGGAAACAAAATGCGCTTGACTACTATTGTTTACGCTACAGATATTTATAATAACCAAAGAAAAATAATAAAGAAAGTGTATAATGAATTTTTATAAAGTTTATTTGCATACTTTCGGTTCAAATTATTGTTATCATGACACTTTTTTTTAAAGTCAAAGCTAATTTATTTTTTTACCTTTTGAAATTTATACATTCACCACTAGGTGCACCTTTAACTATCCTATTACCTTCTTTAGACAACACACAGCATCTTAAGCAATACAAATTTCTCAATCACTTTCTACACTTGAAAATCGCAACTATCTCACAGAATATGAATTAAACATTTCTGAATTTTTTCAATACAGCAAAGAAAAATATGAAAGTCAAAAAATGGGATATGGCCGGTAGAGAAAAGCATCACATAATAAGCTATTTGAGAATTTCTTCTTAGATGAAGATGATACTGATGACACAAGCAGGTACATGCAGTATACTAGAACATTGTATTATTATACAACAAAAAGGAAAACACTTAATTAATTTTATTTTGATCACAGAATAATATCACATGCTGAGTTTAGATGTCAAATGCACATTCAATCAGAACATAAACGACGTGCAAAAATCAAAGATGGTTTTGAGGAACTTAGCAGAGAGCTCCCAATCACTTATACAGGTCGCAAGATAAGTAAATCAGTTTTACTTCAGAAAGGTGATTACTAATTCTATATTTATATTTTTAATAATGACTCTCTAACAATATTTTGTATAAAGCTATCTTGCATATTAAGAATCAGTCAAGTAAAGAGTCTTTTCTTATCGATAAAATCAATCGTTTGAATCAAACTTGTATCTATTTGAATGCAGAATTGGAAAAGAAGAAAAGATAAAATATTATTTTGCTAACTAGAAAGCATCATTAATATCTATTTAATTGATTTATTTAATTTATTTTAATTCTAACAGGATGAGTGAATTGTATAGACAAAAGCAAACTCTTGATAAAATATATGTAGCTGGATTATGAGCAATTCATTGGCACTTTCAGAATTAAGCATCCTTTGTTGTTCTCATTAATCATTGTGTATTTTGTTCATTCCTACAACTATTTTTTTATTTTACAATTAACAGTTTTCATATTTGCTTTTTTTTTTTGTAAATATAAGTTGTTTTTATTTTTGGTTTTTATTCTTTTCTGTCCTTTATCAGAATTTCTTCCAATATTTTTTTTATGTTGTGCTACCGGATTGGTGAGAATACAACTCAAAAAAAAAATTAAATAAAGGAAATGATATTATAGTTTTTTTATAAATTCATGTTTCACTTAACCTAAAACTTAGGGTTTACAATGGTCTGGGTTTGTTTGGGCGGGCCTGAATCTGTTATATCATGAGCAAAAAAAAAAATTCATTAAAAAATTAGCAAATTTTAAACTTAGTTCGTTCTCCGATGGCATCTTGATGCCATCGGAGAATAAAATGAGTTCAAAATTATAGAACATTATTTGACAGCACATGCGACTAGGGTCTGATCAACAAAATATTCTCCACAATCAGAAACTAATGTATCAAATCTTGCTCAGAATCAGTTGATATTTACTGCAAGACCGATTAATATCTCTAGTATATATACCAAAAATTTAAATAAACTTATATGTAACTTATAATTGTAACATGCATACATACACATTTAATGTAGTGCATTGCTTTACTAAATAAATAAAAAAGAGTATTAACGTTAATTTCAAGGTTTGTTTTTTAACGAGCCATGTGTTAGTTCTAAAAGTACAGATGTTATTGCAATTGCATAATTTACCTATCACATCGTCATTAATCTAGTAAATGTAGTGTGGGTAGAATTAATTCATATTTATTAAATCATGACTTAGTTATTGAGTTCTACCTTAATTTAGCCCAAATTCATAAGCCCTATGAAACTACCTTTTATATATAAGTTTAATTCATTCTCCGATGGCAACTAGAGGCCGTCAGAAAATAAACTGGGTTCGAATAATAAAATTTAAATTATCAGCAATATCGATATTAAATTGTATTATATAACAAATAAAAATATATCAAAAAATTTTTCTTATAGTACTGACAATGCACGCTTCGTTTTATGTTTTCAAAATATATTGTACACAAAAAAAGAATTTGACACATTTCAGAAATAGGATTTTTTTTAGTATAGATATGTATATATTAAATTCTTATAACAATAAGTTTGTAATATATAAAAAGTAACTAATTTGAGTAATTTAAATTTTAACCTTAACCAGAGACCCGGGATATCATATGGTGAACTTGATAGAGCATGAGTTATCTCACGAGTTCGGTGATATACAGGGGCCATATGCCATCCAATAATCTTTGCAGAATAATAACTCTGGCCTTTAAGAGATGTGACAGATCCTAAAGGTGTCTAAGGACCTTCAGTATAGCGAAGGGAGGTAAAAATAAAAAAAATAAAATAAAAAAAATTAATTTAACCTTAACTTTGATTTTAATAGTTTATAAAATTACTTAAATTAGTTCAAAATAGTTAATTTATATTATAATTGTATAAAGATTATATATATTTATTTATACTAAAAATTGATTTTAGGGAGCTATATAATTGTGTTAACCAAAAACAGAAAATTTTATTTAGAATAATAAATATGTTAATTAGAATATATAAATAGATAACAAAAAAAATTTTAGTTAATAGTTTAAAAATTTAATTATAATTATATAACCTTTAAACATTACCCTCATATAAAAATTTCTTTACATTTACATATTCATTATTTATTTATTTATTAGCTCTTTGAATATTTAACAATTTATTTCTTTTATTTAATGAAATAAAACAAAATGATTCAAGCCTCATGCAAAGTATTTAATCTGAGTAAAAAGAATATTTATCATTTGTTGTGTGGAGGTGTGGCCAGGGTAGTAAGAATATTGTTTAATAAAAATTCACCCTTGCTATCAAATTCTTCATTTTGGCACTTATTTATTCTCTTTAAAGTATTAGCAGTTAATTGTTCCAGTTTTTTTTTTCTAAAAAAAAGAAGTACTACAGGGTTTTTAAAAAATAACTTGGGATATGTAAGAATATTAAATAGAAGCAAACTATATTGGTGCAACACAACAATGATCAAAAAAATTTCCTGATGTTGTGATTTTGAAAAGTTAAGAAATGAATTATCAGATAAAAATTTTGTGAAGCGATGTTAGGAGCTGCTTCTGAAAAATTTTTATCCAATAATAAGATAAGCCAGATTATCAATAGCTTGTTTAACAGCTAATATAAAACACAGAAATATATGTATTTATTTTAAACAACATATGTATGTATTATACATTGTATTATAATAAAACCAGTATAATACTGCATTAAAATAAATTATTATATTACATATCTTGCTGCAAATATACAACTGTATTATTACCAGAATAGAATAAAAAAAAACACAAATTATATGCTATTTATCGAATTTTTTTCACGTACATTATATATAGTACTGTACGTAGCACATCACTAATTGCAACCGAATCTTAATAACCAAATCATTAACAACCAATCTATTGAACTCGTTTCTATTAGCCAATCAGATTTTGTAAAATCACCAAATGATTTAAAAACATTAGCCAATCAGAATGAAAGCCTGCTATACTAAACCAATCTGATTTAACAATTTTGTGTAGCTCCAGAAAATTATGACTAATGTTATGACTTGGGAGAGTTTTATAGTTCTACCAAGACAAAAAAATACTCCAAGCATAACTAGTACTAGAAAGAATTTTTTTATTAGTATTCATTTTATACTATCTATTAGACTCTAACTAATAATTATGCAAAACATAAATGATGATCTAACTCTATAAAATGTCACAATGAGCGTCAAAGTATAATATAGCAAATAGGTTCGATCATTACCTAATTACAAGATAAGCTATTGTGAAGTTACACAAAGAAAAGCATAATGTTTAACACCAACCTCGGCAAACATTACAATATATACAAGTATATATTTTTTTAAATCTTTATCTATTAAAAATTTTATTACTATAAAGAATGTATTTTAGTCTATATACTGTAGAATTTTGATAAAAATTAATTACAATAGTAAAAAGTTTTATTAGTAGAATATTTTTATTTTTTATATAAATTATGTTGTACCACTAAAATCATATGATAAAAAAAATCATATTATAAAATGATCTATGTACCCTCTACCCTACCCTCTACCCTTAAATAAAATTCTCACCCCTATTTGTATGAAAGTGCGTGTTTATTTTCTTTTTACGAGATAGAAAACTAATTTCAGAAATGAATATAAGATATATCGGGTGCAAAAAATTTGAACATTTTGAAATTTTCTTACCAGTAATGAAGTATACCAATAACTCTTCTATTACTTCTTGTTCTAAAGGAGGTTAAAAATAAAATAAAGATTAACTGCCAAAGGGTGAGGTGAGATAATTATATCACTAAGTGATCATTTAGTCATTATGCATCTAAAGTTACGCTGCCACTAGGATGATATGATAGACAGAGAACTAGAAGCACATTGTGGCCACAGGGATGTTACAAGAGCCAAGTAATAATTGCTTGTAAACATCCTTCTCTATTTTATCTGTTATCCGAATGGTGAATAGGATGCATGGATAAATGACTGTATTGGCTCCAGTGCATGTTCCTTGATGATGATGATGACAATTACTTACAGTTATTTTTTTTTATAGGTTATCAAGAAGTGATGGTGGCATGATATGTTCAGCAATCATAATCATTACTTATTATGTTTTAATGCAAAGATCTTACTAACAAAGTTGAAGTTGATTATATCCGAGATTTTGAAAGTGTTGTATCAAGATTCGATAAGCAAACAACAATCAGAATTTATGTTACATCAGCAAAGGATGGTTATTCAAGCAGTGCTATAGGAAAAGCTGAATCATCTGAGTACTATTTACTATTGATGAACATACATGATCTGTGTCAGAACATTCCCAAATACTTGTCTAAAGTATTGAAAGATAATTCTGTCAATGAAAAGATTTATAGGATAGAAGAAAAGGTAGATGAGATAATTGAGAATCTCAAATATCAAGAGAAGTCCATACATTAAATTAATAATGATAAAATCAAAATTAAAAATAAGCAAATTAAGTTGAAAAAAAAAACAAATTAGAATAGAGTGTAAACAAGAAAAATCATTTTTTATAATTCTATATTATTATTGATTGTTGTAGTTTCTGTATTAGTTAAATATGATTTCTTCTTGTAATTATAAATATTATAAACTAAAAACTATTAACAGTACATGTATTGTTCAGATGATTTTCATTAAATATGATTGGCTAATGAATATCAAATGATGGTAAAATTTAAGGGTCTCGATTTGAAAATATAATGATAAGCTCTACCAAAATCCACCCATACTCTTTTATTAATAATAACTCTAACCTTAAATCCTAACTTAACCATAAAAAAAAAAGTTGACAAAAAAGGCTCTAAAAAATTTAAAAATCGTACATAAAATAGATCCAAATTTCACATCATCCAATTTTACAATCGTCCACAACATAAATATTAAAAGTCCAAAAAATTATTTTATTTAACATCTATTGCCAGGCCCAAATCTGCTAAATTATGAGTTAAATTAATACAATTCATTAGAGTTAGCATATATTAAACTCAGTTTATTCTTCGATGGCATCTTGATGCTATAGAAGAATGAAATGAGTTTGAATAATAAAATTTAAATTATCAACAATATCGATATTGAATTATATTATATAACAAATAAAAATATATCAAAAAAGAATTTCTTATAGTACTGTACAATGGACGCTTCGTTTTATATTTCAAAAGATATTATACGCAAAAAATAATTTGTCACATTTAGAAATAGATAGATATAGATTTCTTTAGTATAGATATGTTATATATAAATTCTTATATATAAAAATTGATTTTAGAAAGATATATAATTAGAGTTGTATAACTTACTATAAGTTATTTTTAAAATATAAGTTACATTTTAAGGTATGTAAGTTACCATGTAAGGTAAGTTATGTATAATAATAATAAAAAATTTATTCTTTAATTCCTTAATGCTGGCTAAATTTATTCTGGCCGGCATTAACACTAAAGACTGCCTGCTTTACTATGATATATTTTGTAACTTACATAAGGTCATGTAACTTACAATGTAACTTACAATGTAAGTTATATTGTCTAGTAAGTTATTATAACCCTATATATAATATAATTATGTTAACCAAAAACAGAAAACTTTATTGGGAATAAATATGTTAATTAGAATATAAATAAATAACAAAAAATTTTAGTCAATAGTTTAAAATTTTAATTATAATTATATAGTAAAACTTTTATAAGTATATATTTTTAAAACTGAACTTAATAAAAAGATATGTAAAGTTTCATGAACCATTATTCTAAATAATAGTAAATCTAATGGATACTACGTATTATTTAAATATACAGTTGTAACGTAGAAATGTAATTTTGAAAAATACTATTCTACCAGAAATATGAACTAATTCTACCAAAATTATGTTTACTAAAGTTACGAATTAATTCTATCAAAATTATTTTTACTGGAGTTACGAATTAAATTCTACCAAAATTATGTTTACCAGAGTTACGAATCAATTCTACCAAAATTATGTTTACCAGAGTTATGAATTAATTCTACCAAAATTATGTTTACCAGAGTTACAAATTAATTATACCAAAATTATTTTTACTAGAGTTACGAATTAATTCTACTAAAATTATGCTTACCAAAGTTACGAATAAATTATACCAAATTATGTTTATCATAGTTATGAATTATATAAATGCTTTATTTTAATTAAGTTAAAAAGTGTCAACTTAAAGATATTTTGTAAGGGTTATATAAAGTTCGTGGTCGGGATACAGTATATTTATTCTGATTTATAAGTAGAGTTGTTTAAAAATTATGGTGAAATTTTTTTTTTGTGCTAGGAATTTGTTAGATTCAAAAACTTATGATATTGGTGATATTCTATTGTAAACGAAGATTTTTGAAATTATATTAATTAAATAAAGTTACATATAGTAAATAATAAACTCAGTGAATTAGTCAGTATTTTGAGTATAATTTTGTATAATGATGAATGTGATTGTATATATTTTTCCTTTTTATGTGTTATTCATGCAATTCTTTCACTTTAGCTAATTACTATAAAAGCCTGCTATGTTTATTTGAACCCAGTTTATTCTCAGATAGCCTCTAAATGCTGTTGGAGAACAAACCAAAATTAATATACAAAAAGTAATTTCGTAGATAAACATTTTGAATAAGAAACTGCATTTAAATGATCATGCTGATACTTGTTTTTCCTTGTATTTTAAGCAGTTATGAGGTCTTTAAAGATGAATAACAATGCTTAAATCATTCATTTGAATTTTTTATATTTGGTCTTTTTAACTGTCTTCAAATTATGGGTTACAGCAGTAACTATATTCTGAAATAATATTAGATTAATTTTAATAGTAAATCACATAATAATAAATACACAAAATAGTTTGAAGAATAATACCTGTACTAATAATAATGCATATACTAATTCATGTACATTTTCCCAAGCAGTTTGTTTTACAGGTATGTCCGCTTCAACGATTAGAAAGTAAAAATAAATATTATTCTTTCTTTGAAGTCCGTATATTTTCATATGCTTGTCTAAACAAAAAAAAAAGGTTATAGTATCAATTGAAAAAAAAACAACAATACTTAGCTTACCAGTTATATTAATCCCCAAAATTGTAAGAAAAGAACAAATGTTTTTGTTGTCTTTCAATCGTTTTTGGGTAGTCACAAAATTGTAACCACTTTTACATAAGCAAATCAATTTAGTATGATCTGATAAAACCTTTTTTTCAGTAGTTTTGCATCTCCCACTTTCAACGTAAAGTAACTCTAGGGATTTTTCACTAATTTTAACTGTAAACATGATGTCAGGTCGATCTCCAATTGCTGAAGTTTTTGTATTCACTGATTTATAATCTTAATTGGTGCGACTTTGCAGTTCTTCTCTAAAAAACACAAATATTAATAATAAAATTCTTCAAAACATACTGATATAAGAATTAAAATTACTTTAACAAGTATATAACATCTACTAGAAAATCATCCAATGCTACAGAAAGAACGGTTCTATAACTTGTGTCAGAAAGTTTCTCTCGGACTGTTTTTATTCCAATCCATACTCAATTTCCAAATATTATTCCTAAAAAAAGAATTATGTTTATTGTTATTTTACTCTTATATAGATAATATTGATAATACATACAAACATTTGACAATGCATTGAGAACATTTCTTTTGTGACTCTAAAGTTTCTACCCAATGACCTAAGGAGGCTATGGAACTTTCAGAAATAATTCATTTAAGATTGGTGTTGTTTTGAGATTCTTGAATAACTTTTTTACACTCTTCTACCAAATCTTCTTCCAATTCCAATTTCTTTGAAAACACACCCTATATATAATTGATATAATTAATTTTTATATCTATATATTAACTAAAAATTTACTTACTTTGGCAAAATTAACCATGGTATCTTTGAATTTACTTGCCCACTTGGAGGTGATATCTATGACTTCTATATTTAACAAATTATAATCATTATAATCAGGCTTTAGAACTAATTCATCCAAGATATTATAAATGTCTTGATAAGTATCATGTTCTTCATCAGAGCATTTCCCACAAAAAATTCAGTTCAAATTTATAACCACATACATTATTCAAAAACCTCATTAAAAAATAATAATTTTAGGTTAAAATACTTTCCACACTCCGCTTTAAGTTTAAGATATTTGTTGTAATATCTTGTATTTTTTCTTTTTTATGAGAAGTAACAAGCTTCTTATTTGCATGCAATGAATTCACCATTAAAACTACACTTTTAATCTAAAAAAATAATAAACTATTAGATTCAATTTAAAGTAATAAATAAATTATTCTTAGCAATCGATCTATACAAATCAGAATAAATTTGCATGCAATTTTAACTCCTGGAAATATTGATCATTTAAAAACAAGAACAGCCCCACTTCAGAAATGTAAACATGCAAGTTCACTGACTATAACAAGGATGACCCACTTCAAGATTTGAAAAATCTAAATACGTATATCCCTAATGAATCATGGTTGCTATAGCAATGTACTTGTGATTATAAATACATTTTTACTGAACTGTGGTTGTTTAAGATCACTTCTAACTCATCATTTATGTAAAATAACATTCAGAAATGTATTAAAGTATGCTTACGATTTCAGGTGGTGTTTCTTTAAGAAGTAATAGTTTTTCTTTCCTTTGTTTTTCAAGTAATTCATCTTTTAATGCGTATTCGATTGCATCATAAAATATCTTAACTTCCTTTTCTTCTTCACCAGTCTATAGTTTTAACTCAATCCTATGGTAAAAAATGAGTGCTGGCTCAAGTGACTCGAAAGATAAACTTTTTAGATTTAATTTGAAAAACATTTCAACATTGATCAACTTTGTAAAATGGGATACAGGTAATATGGATAAATTAAAATTTACCAGCAGATCGATCTGTCGATCTATCACTATTACTGTAGTCCAGATCACTAATCTGCTTAATTAATTAATTTTTATTAAATACAATATTATTTTGTTATTTTATTATAAAATTTAATTATGTCCAAATTCCTCAGTGCATATATTAACGTTAAGAAATATGAAGAGCCCGATTTTTTCTGATTTTTAGATTATACAAGAGTTTTATGATTATCATTAACTCGATTATAGATTGTCATATTATGTAATATTAGTTGTAAATGTTGATTTGTAACTCTGGTAAACATCATTTTGGTAGAATTAATTCGTAACTCTGGTAAACATCATTTTGGTAAAATTAATTCGTAATTTTGGTAAGCATAATTTTGGTCCAAGAGAAGATAGGCTTGGATTTATATATTACTGATGATGCATACTTTTG